TGGCTGATGAATTGTAAAATCGGGCGATGTTATCGCCGGTCGCGGACACACCAGGCGATTGCATCGGGCGATAATATCAAAACGTTTTGATCTGTGCGATGGCATCGGCCGATGGCATCCGGCGATGAAATCGGCGGCGATTGAGTGGACACACCAGGCGATTTTCACGCCGATGCCATCGGCCGATGCCATCGCCTGGTGTGTCCGGCCCTTTATGCTCAACAACCACCATCCCCCCGATTTTGACGATTTTTTTTTACTATCTCGGCGGGATACCAAGCATTGAAATCTGGTATCCAACACAAGAATCTACTATTCCACGGATATCGGGATACCGCTAATTTCGACCACTGCTCATTGATGAAACTTTTGACAACTTGAAAAAGAGATTCAGGAGTCTCATACGATGTGTTCAGAACAGCTTAGTCCTGATGCACAAAATTGCACCGTTTTTTCAAATATTTCCCAGGAGAGCATGCCCCCGGACCCCCTAGCTTGGCCAGCACCTGCGCTGCTCGCTTTGCTAGGTCCTCGAAATGTGCAAACACATCGCAAAAAACGTTTACCACCTCACAGACCTATTTGGCCAGGGGAAATACTGCTAGTGGTATATACTACCAGGAGTAGATAATAGCTAGGGATTCCCTATTCTCTACTGATACTACCAAGTGATATACTGTACCAAAATAGTTCTGTAGTTCAAACCACTTTCATAATTGTCATACATCGCCTTAGTCGCCTATTATTTCTCAATTGTCTGTTTCCTAAAATTATTTATCAGTGAATATGTGTTTTAATCAGTATTAACCTGTTAGCAAATGTGCATTATTGTGTTATATATGAAAATGGTGTGAATTGATAAATATGTGATTATTGAATTTGAGGTGTGTTATAGTTTTTGAGATGGATTAACTGCATTACTTTATTACTATAGGAAATTGCTAGCATGCAGTACATGTTACATAAAACCTGGTCTATCTGTGTAAATTAATAGGAAATAAGTGTAGTACTTTTATGACCACAGAGATGCATTCATCCATTCCCACCACGTATATCTACATATCATGCAAGTTCAAGTTCAAGTAAAATTTATTTTCATCGGTATATTATGAACATTGTAACATAAGCTAAGAGCTTTTGCACCGATTGCAAGATAGTCACTATATTGCTAAAGGAACAAATAATATAAGGAACACTATATGATAATTAAGATTTGGCTAATATCGGGCATTTAATTTGTTATGCCTAACCAGCAAGAATCGTAACAGTTTTTACTATCATTTTTTTTACAAGAAATACAAAGGGTAGATCTGTGTAAATTTTGACTACAAATGATGTTTCCATAACATAACTGAAACTAATGTTTATCACTTTCAGTACTCAAGAACCTCAAAGGAAAGTGTGGGTTTGTTGCAAGAAAGGTGAGTTTTGTAACAAAAGTAATGTGGGTGACAAATGAATTTAAAAGTATAGGATGCTTTTATGCTTTTTTAGCTCATCTGACATAGTCAGATGCAGCTTGTAGAATCGCACGATCGTCCGTCCGTCCGTCCGAGCGTCCGTCCGTCCGTCAACAGTTGGGCACAAATCTTAACCGCTCGACGTACGGTCACGATATTCGGGACGTGGGGGGGTAATCCGAAAACGAGTTGGATGTCGAGTACTGGGGCGTCAAATGCAGTGCAAGGGTCAATTGAGGTGGGTTGTAATATAGTAAGGCGGGATCCATTCGCTCCTTGTACTTTAAGGTATTTAGGGAGGGAAATGCAGCATTTGTCGGGCATTGCATAATGCTTAACGTGCTTGGGACGGTATGGGCTGCGGTGGATAGTCTGGGTGTTTATTAGCATCGATGTTAGTGAAGAAGCCGTCACTGTGTGCCGAAATTGGAGGGTCACAGGTCATGAAGTTAAGGGGGCACAGGGCAGATTTTATTATTTTCTGAGGACATGTCTGACGGAGCGATGAAATTTTTTGTTTCAGCGGGGGTGACATGGCTATTTGTATGGCTTTATGATAAGGACCGTGGGTGAATTGTTTCGTGGTGATCGAGTGCGAGAGTAACGTGGTCGGATAATCCTTTTGACCTCAAGGGGGTAAGACAATTGATTTGGTTTGTGGTTAAATAGGATGACTGCTTTTGTTTTTAGTGGCCAGTCCTGTTGTCAATGTGGTGCGTAAGTTGACAGTTTGAATTGCAGAGGCAAATGTTGTTGTTTTGACATAGAGTTTACGGCTCTTTTAATCTTATGGTTTTGCTAAAGCAGTCTGTCTATTATGCACTCCGCCCCTGGGCTGAAGGGGGTGTAATTGATGTAGTCAGTGTATATTGCTCGCATGATGGCAAGACACGGGAGCCGATTGGCGATGGCCGGGTTTCTATTCATATATTGTTGTCCTGTCGATATCTGCATATGTACTGTTTAATCTCACGAGTTGAGGGAAGGAGGTTAGGTGGCGGCGCTGGCGGTAATATTCTTCTTGGGGATGAGCCTGGTTGTCCTTACTGTAGGATTCATGTATACGGATGGCCGCTTCGGGGTGGGGATTGATTTATTGTATTCATTGCGCGGGCAGGAGCGCTCTGGCCGGAGCGAATAGAGGTCCTAGTTGAGATTAGATTTTATTCTCATTGTTAACTTTTGTTAAGTGGGAATAATAATAACTAGTACGGTATAATATTATAATTTATTGTCATTCTTGATTTAACAATATATATGTAGCTATGGCGTGCGTATCCATTTACCAGTTGTGCGAACTAAGCTGGTTACATAAATATTAGCGACACTATATTTTGATTTCTATGACTGTCACTCAGGGGCATAGGAAGAAGTATTATTGAAGGGAGGCAGTAAACAGGCATCATCGCTGGGTTTTTAATTTTTTTTTATATATTAAGGAGAGGAGGTAGAGAACAGTCTAGATAAAGAGAGGAGAGAGCGTTTAGTAAATTGAGACGGGACAGGGGGGAAACGGGTGTGTACGGTTAGTGTATGCGAAGCGGGACGGGGTTCATTTAGGTCGTGCGGATGCTGTGTGCAGGGGATGGGAGGTGGGGAGGCAGGGGGAGGGAGGTGAAGCGGGGGGAGGGAGATGGAGGTGAAGGGATGAGTGGAAGTGGAGAGCAAGGGGAGTGAAGTGGGAGGCAGGGGGAGGTGGGGACACATGTGGGGAGGAGGGTGGGAGAAGGACTCCCCGCCTTCCTACTAATTAAACTGGGAGCTCCGATGCTCATGAGTCATATGTTGAAATCTTTTATAGATAGATAAAAATAGATAGCTGTGAATCTATGACACAAATTCGAAGTGAAAGGCAAGTATCATTTAATAAAATAAACCAAAATCGCATGGGGGGGAGATAGTGAGCGTGTCCTAACAATGATGTGTACGCAACTGCGTATCTGCATATCTGCGCCTAACAAATGTGTCACTACACACGACTGAAATTTTACGTTTATAACCGTAGCAACAGACCCCAGATGAGCCCAGTCGCTCTGCGGCTCTTGTGTTTGCATGTACTTTTAATCTGCAGGATCACAAACCAGCTATGGTGATCTTGTAGTTCTTGGCGTTTCGTCAGATGGCGCTCCGTACGTTTCTGCGTCAGATGGGTTTAGTGCTGACAACATAACCAAGGTACTTGCAGAGGGAATAATATCTATATACGATAGTTCATGAGTGAAGTGGTTATGGTGGTTATCGATGTGTTTTAATATTAATATATCTGCTCGGTGTACTGCTATGATGTAGTGGTTGAGGGATTGTATTTAATATGACAATAGCTGGCTTATGTGTTGTATGCCGGGAAACTATGGTTGAGGTAGACTATGCTGTGGCACTGATACACTTGTTTGTACCCGAGTGCACTAGCGTCTGATAGCATGATCATTTCGGACGCTTGCACCAACACTGAGGCCAGGTAGATTCGAGAAGATAAAGATGGTGTCTACTTACAGCGCAGCATCAGAATCACGCATCATGACAGTGGCACCACGGCCACTTTCCTGGCTGCCGGAGATATCTTCAGCAACATCCACAGTAACAGTGTAAGGAAGGCTACATGGCATATACAATAATCTCATCTCATAAGACGTCTAGCGTATGTGATGTACATTACTGGAAATGTGTAGACATGAAGTTTAGCAGAATGTTTCAAATAATGTTTCACATATTAGGTGTGCAAGCAAGAGGAACTAACCCTTTTAAAGTAGTTCAATTTTGTTAGCTCACCTTGACATCGTCAAGCGGAGCTATTGTCATGGGTCGTCGTCCGTTGTACGTCCGTCCGTCCGTCCGTCAACATTTGGCTACGGTCAATGATAACTCAGGAACCGTTTGACCCACATGTTTGAAATTGGGTATAGTTGTTACTGCTATGCTCCCATATTGAACGTCCTATTTTGGAGCACGCCAGTCGACGTAATTTTGAGCCACGGCAATTTTTTTGGCAAAAATGGGAATTGCCATTAGTCAGTTCAGGTTCAACGGATTTTGCTCATTTTTGGTATGTGAATGAATAAGGGCTAGGGGTTTTGATAGTTAAAAAAAAATTATGCAAATTAGGTAGGTTTTGGCAATTATATAGCATATTATATAGACACGATAACAGATAACAGTCTGTGGTGTCACACTCGTCTGGTTCGTTTTACAAGATTTCATTGACAATATCTTTAATGCAAAATTGTTATTTCCTCTCCACCCTGCCGATAAAACGTCTATATTAGAGTAAAGTTTTACAAAACATGTCGGAACGCAGCATTTAACCTATTTATTTCGAATGCCATTGCTAAGAAACATCAAAGCGGGTATAGCACCATCTACCGTCACAAATTGTGATTCATTTTGGTTTATAAATTATTATTGCGATATACAGATAGCAATCATTTCTATAATGTACGTCGATGGTTACTCAATTAAAACTGACTTCTTCTCACTCACTCATTTGTGTCCTTTTTTGTGGTGAGCTACAGTGTCATTGACACTTTCATTTCTTACTGTTATCATGTCAATTTTCTGCTGTAGGTGTTGAGTCTTGACGTGACAACTGGTGGCTTAGGCGTGTCAGCATGCTCACAGGATAAACTCATCGTGTGGGAAACCTCAACAGGACAAGTTAGGGTCTGTATGCAGTTCAACTGCATGATCAAAGTTAAAAAATCATCAGCATGTGCCACCTTGCGTTAATGGCACGTGTGCCTAGCAGTTTGCAAAAAATGTACACTAGACGGACTAATTGCGGCCCCGGGTTTTGCGGCGCCCCAACGCGAATACGCCGCCCCCTTTTTGTCCCCTTAGACAGATACCTTAGACAGTGGTCTGAAAACGCACTCCGCGAAAACTGGGCGCAATCCAACCGACATTTCGGGATGGACGGCTTAAGGCCATCTCCAAACGGCCCCTAAACTTTTTTTGGAGTGGCGTGCCTCATGGCTAAGACGTAGTGGCTCCTACAAGAAAATTCCAGAAATGCTGTCAATCGGCGATGACGCGCTCGCTCATTGGCCACTACGCGATGACGTGTGCTACTGCCGAGTATAGCGTTATGTCTATCACAGAGCTTTTTACGAAGTGTCGTACGGCGCTCCACGTGGGCGGGCGCGGCCTAGATGCTATCTCCAAGAGCGCTGCCGCCGTGCCGGTGCCTGACTGCGTACGTGCGAGGTTTTACCAACCTATTGACCCCGCCGTGCCGGTGCCTGACTGCGTACGTGCGAGGTTTTACCAACCTATTGACCCCGCGCTGCTCGTGGCGACGGCACGTCGTGCGAGCACCTGCGCTGGCGTGGCCGGCGAATACTGCGAGCACATGGTGGCGTGGCCGTGCCAGTTTTTACACGTAGCTAATCGTAGATACTGGCAAATCAGCAGCAGCAACAAAAACTCGCCCCTGCCGCGCAGCGCGCCCCAGCGCGCCTCTGCAGCAGCAGCAGCAAATGCCCCCACCCAAGGCCGCCATAGCCGAGCCGGTGTAGGTGTGACGAAAACTGCGCGATGTTACGCTTCCCGCTATACGGATTCGCGCGCCCCACCCTCCTTCGGCGCGCGAATTCGTATAGCGGGCAGCGCGAGATGCTACACACAACACACCGCGGTCGCGTGCGCCCAGTCCCGCGGAAGTGCGCGGCTTAACCGCTCTCGGCGGTCGGGCAACTACGCATCTTTTGCGCAACGCCATCTTGTACCCGGTCTCTCTAGCTGATTACTGACAGTAGCCGCTAAGGGTAAAGCGTGGCATCCCGTGTTATTTCACAGAGGATGTTGGAGGGGCATGTGAGCAGCATCTACACATGCCGATTCTTTCCGTCAGGCATCGTTGTGTTAACAGGTGGTGCTGATATGCAGATTAAAATCTGGTCAGCAGAGACGGGTCAGTGCGCAGCCACACTGACGGGCCATACTGGAGGTACGACGATCACATATCGCTAGTGACTGCCACGCATACATTTGGTAGTGTAGAGACTTGGCACGGGTACCTTGAACCTAATCGATTTATGAAAACTTGTTACCGTGTGTTGTATGACAGTCACCCGTGAAGGTCTGCGCGGTCCTGTTTTACGTTTGTTCCTCTTGCTCACGACTCAATATGAAGAGAATGCGTTTTTGATGTCGGCAGGGATAACAGGCACGGCGATCGTCGATAGGGGTCGAAACATGGTGTCATCGTCGCGGGACGGCACAGCCCGGCTCTGGGACGTCGGGATGTCGGCATGCCTCGATACAATCGCTAACTGCGGCTGCATGATCAACTGCTGTGCTGTGCACGTCGTTGACAATGCGATAGACCTGGGAGAACCTGATAAATGTCCCAGTAAGCCATCACCACAAAAGCGTTGTCCCCGCTACACAACCGTGTCCTGATGGCTCGTCTGATTGCTTTTTAAATATGCATAAATGTATGTACTATTAGTTGTGTTGTCAGATTCACGCTTGCTTTGCAGGCGACAGAGAAGTCATGACAGAGGGAGTGTTACTACTTTTAGCCTGTGAGGATGGTACACTTCAGGGATATGGACTGCAGTCTAGAAAAAAGGCAAGGTTAAGAAGTGTTGCAAATGTGAATGTCACTAGTTGAATACATGCAAACAGGTTAGCTCGTTGATTCTCAAAACTACCGTATTTACTCGTGTATGAGTCACATTCGTGTATAAGTCGCACCCCATATTTTGCCTTGAAAATTTGGTACAAAACTTTTATAATATATTAAGCGAATTTTACGTGGAAGATGAGTAGAACAAACAATGACAAGAAATTAACAAAATAAATTACGAACATAATTATGGAATAGCCGCTACATACATAATACGTGACTGTAAAGTATATTATAATATCAAAAAAGTCTTTAAAGCAAATTAAATAAAAGAAGTCAGGAACATATAATATCAAATCGTCCAGGTTTTTTAGTGTTTTAACTAGTTGAGAAACAATCTTATCAGGTATGAATTTGACGATACGTTTAGTCCCGTTAGTTCTTGCTTTTAATGTAAAAAAATGGCAACAAAAATTTTACAAATTGAAAATTCGTGACGTAGTCAATTTAAAGCACATGCATTTAAGGTTAAGCACAATTATGAAATTATCAATTAATAACAAAAGATTATTAATTACAACTTAAAAGATCAAAGCCATCAAAGTCAGATTCTTCATCATCAGATGCCAAAAAGTGTCAACTTTTCGTCCGCATCCCATAATGCTGGTACGTCCTCTGTTTCATCTTCCTGTTCTTGGTCGTCTTGGTCATCAGCCTACAAATTGGTTCCACTGAAGTAAACGATGAGCAGTTCAATACTGAACGATATCATAGCAGTCGGCAAACTTGATACACAGTGATTTCACACTTAATTACAAGTCATTGTCCTCTGAGTAAATTAGCAGTTATCCCTGACTGATCAATTAATATTATTAATAATAATTATGAAACCATTTGGCAAGCCCAAAAGACCAGACCTAGAATAACTTTTCTGGGCTTAGTCTTCCTACGTTGGAAAGTACGGTAATTTATTGAAGATTGCTGCGCCCATATGCAATATGCATTCGCGTGGTTTGGCATTTACAATAGCAGCTGGTTGCAATAACGATGACATTTCTTGCACAAGATTTCTCAGCCTCGTGTGTAAGTCGCACCCCTGATTTTTTTTATTGAAGTTGCGTACAAAAAAGTCTGACTTGTACACGAGTAAATACGGTATGTAGTCGATGCATCGCTCGCAATATACAGCATAGACTTGTGCAGTAGCTATGCCTAATATTACAACTCTATACGTGATTGGTAACTTATGTGTTTTAGTTATTTGAGGTGACGTGCACAGGGGCAGTAAACACCTGTGCTTTCTTGTCATCCACCGAAGTCATCTGTGGACTACAGAATGGCCAACTCTACAGATATGATATTCGAAACATTAGGTAAACACTGGCAGATCCATTCCAAGGCCAGCATGACTATTGCCACTGACTAATTGTTCATAGCCTGTTACTCTTTATAGACTGTAACCATACAGGTCTGTGCAGTAGTTGCATTTGTAGCCACAAGGTGTACTCAAATTCTGTGGTCACACCTTCATCTCATGATCTCTGAACTTCTTGGAATCATTTTGGTTGCTAGAGTACCAATGTGAAATTAAGCTGAACATATGGTATGAAGAACCATATAAGCTAAATACTTACACTTGCATCTATGATTACAGCTCACCATTGCAACATTGGGGTGAGAGCAGAGGACCAATCCTGTGTGTGGTGCCATTTCATAATGGAATACTCCTTAGCACAGGTAATGTAGTGGGAAATTGTTGCACTGTCACAGGTTCTCTCTTGAAAATTCCATGAGCAGTAGCAGATTAGTAGTTTTGCTCTCGTTAATCTGGCATATGCGATAGACAAATCAGACAAAACTATCACCCAGAGTCTGCTCCTGTGAGAGTGGGACTGGGTTATTACTCAACATAGATCCTGCATTGTAATTTGCAGGTTTGTAGTTATTTAGGGTGCACCGTATTTGTGTCACACTATGGTGTGATAGATGGATGGGTAGATGAATGGATGGATACACAGGTGAACGGATGGATGCTCAGATTAATGGACACAGACACAGTTTTCCTCAAATAGACAGCCAGATCCACAATAACTTCTTGGATGGCTGGATGAAAGAACAAATTGACTAACTAAATGACCAAATTGGAAGGGTTTACAGATAGATCGATGAATGAATGAATTGATAGATGGATAATAAATGCTGCAGCTTGTGCTGTCACTACTCCTTTAGGTAGATAGGTAACTCGATGTATGGATAATTTGTGTGATAGATAGGTAAATAAGGAGTTTTTTCTCTGTGGTGGTGCTGCACTGTGCATGTCATGATACTGCTTCTTAAGAAAAATTACCTCATTTACATGAGACGTCACATGCAATACGTGGCTGTTATTCTCCTGCTAGATAGCAATTCTGCAAACCCCTTTCTTTATATTAAACCAGTTGGGAAATGGGGTGTGCCTCTATATGCCTTTTCGGTTACAGGAGATGGCTCATGCCTGTACAGGGATGTGACAAAGGCGGAAAGCACCCTTGAATTCAGCGGTTCAGATGGGGATGCCATTCACCAGGTGGCACATGCTGGGAGAACTGTCTACACTGCATGTCGCGATGGCTGCATTCGGAAGTTTTCCATTCCGCAGAACCTGCTCTAGTTGTGTGCATCTCCCTTTTTTGCTCCATCATATTTTGCACTGTGTGTAAATGTCTAATGGATCCAGAACATTTTAGGGGATGTAGAAAACTATCCAGAATATACTGAATTAGATGATGAGAGAAATTAAGATATCCAGAAGTAGGAGTGGAAAATGTATCCAGATATTCTAAACAACAGTTTATATAAACGAAAGAGATGAGAATTTTCTGATTTGAGGCTGCAGAATGTATCTGGAAGATGAAAAAGAATGCAAATTTGCATCTAATCTCAGATTTAGTATAACACTAGTGAAATGGTATTGAATGGTATGGTATGCTATTGAAATGGTATTGTAGAATGTTTAAAAGGTAGACCAAGACTTATAGCAACTGAGGAATTGGTTATGTAATGGTTCTAGACGTCTCGCAGCCATCCTCGTGCACCAGCACGACCACGCCACGTAGTGGCCGCCAATACAACTAACCTGCACTTTCAGAACACTCATCGAGTCCCTTTAGGGTATAAGGGATGAAACGTCACGTATTGACCATATAATCTGCTATATATTATATAATGACCAGGGGCCCGTTGTCAGAAACATCGTAAACTTAATGCTAATGTTAATGCCAAGATAACACTTACGACTAATAGGCCCACGCACACGCACACACAGTGACACACTCACACAGCACACGCACACCGCCACACGCAGCACCGCACCACGTGCACACAACTGACACAGCAGCACGCACACGCATACGCACACGCACACGCACACACCACGTACACACAGGACACACAGAACGACACGCACGCACGCACGCACACGCACGACGCACACAACCAGTGACACAATCACACGCACGCGCACACGCCTTCGCACACTGCCACATCGCACACCACAGTGGACACACTCACACGCATACGCACACTACAAACACGCACGCTACCGACATGCACGCACACGCTACACGCACGCCACACTCACACGCCACACGCAATGCGCACAGTACACGCACACGCACAACGGTGACAACACAAACACGCACACGCACTCGCATGCCACACGCACCAGCACAAACGACGCACGCGCGCACGCACGCACACCACACGCACGCACACACACACGCACTCGCACATCACAGTGACACACTTCCACGACACACGCACGCATACGCACACGCACACGCATGCACACACAAGCGACACACAAACACGCCACTACGCACACGCCACGCAGTGACCACACTCGGACGACACACGCACTTACGCACACACAAAGCACGCACAGCACATGCCCACGCCCCCCCCACACGCACATCGGCACTCACATGCCACACGTACACGCTCGAGGACACACTGACACGCACACGCACACGAACACACGGTGACACACAAACACGCACACGCACTCGCGCACACAGTGACACACTCACACGCACACGCACACGCACACCACGCACACGCAGTGGCACACTCGGGCGCACACGCACACGCACACACAAACACGCACGCACAAGCACATGCACACGCACATGCACGCAGACGCACACGCACACGCACTCACATGCACACGCACACGCACACGCACACACAGTGACACACTGACACGCACACGCACACGCACACACGGTGACACACAAACACGCACACGCACACGCACACACAGTGAACACACGCACACGCACACGCACACACGCACACACAAACACGTACGCGTGCGGCCCGGCCTCGGCTATGGCCCGTAGCAACGTGCCCCACATGAGTCTAGGACATATGCCGAACCCCAAACCTAAGACCCACCCAAAAATCCGCCCCTCCCACCTCCCCCCAACTCCCAAAAAAACAAAATCGCCTCCTTCCCCCTCCTAGTAATGGCCCGCCCCAAATCCCCCATTGGGGGTTCCCCACCCCCAAAACACCCCAAATTCCCCCCTCCCCCACTGACAAATTCCCCGTCCTAGGAATGGACCCCCATAACCGAGTTTCCCCGCCACACAAAATGCTCCAGAAAATGCCCTTCCAGGAAATGCACCCCAAATAACCCCAAGGGGGAAACCCCCAATAACTCATCATTCCCTCCCAAAATCCCCCTTCCACCCCCCTCCTAGAAACGGCCCCTATCTCCCCCCAAACCCCAAACGCCTCAAATGCCCCCAAGAAATGCAGCCTCCCCAAGGGGGTTACACTTCCCCTATTCCTCCCAAATTCGACAGTGTTTCTATAAGCTATGCATCCGTGCGGCGACCCACATCTCCCCCCCACCCACATCTCGTCTCGCACATATGCCGTCCGATAGATGGCACCACTAGTTTTCAAAAATTTATCGTGACTGTTCGCTGGGTGCCATGCATCCGTGCGCCGGCCTATGGATTTGGCGCACGGATCCACAGCTGCCAGCACCCGATACTATCGTAGCACGTTCCCGCGGTCGCGTGCGCCTTGCTGCGGAACTGCGCGCAACATCCGCGCTCGGCGGTCAGGATCAATGCTTCCTTTGCACATCGCCTCTCTAGTATCCGGTCTCTCCTCTGGACAGTCTGCAGCCGGATATCCGCGCGAAGCCCGCCAACGCCGCCTGGCGGCATTCTAACACGATTTCGCTGCCCCCATTCCATCACCTTCAACGGGTTTACATATATAAGGCAAGCAGCAAGTTCGCTGAGTTGAGCAGTTCTGGCGATTGGACGACCGATTTCACTACCCATGTAGCTTGAGATTTGCTTGAAATGCTCGTATAACTTTTTTGGCGACCCGGCGCGCTCGTTTTGCTGTAAAAAACGAATTTGCACTTTCTTCTTTGTTGTTTCTGTTGATGAGTGTAGTACATATGGCGTGCGATAGACGGCGCAACGAACGCCGAGATTATAGGCATTGTAGACTGGTACCCGTTCGCCACCTTTACTCCGGCATATCGCTACACTCACGTAGTGTAGCGTGTGGAACTGTCGACCGGGTACAGATCTATATGCACATGGATTGATAGCATGCGTCTTGCGTCTATGTTATAACCATGGAAAAGTTTCTTATTGTTCGTCGTTTGATTCGTTAAATAATGACAAGCCGCAACTCGAATTTTTTTCATCGGAAGGTCATCTAATTAAAAGGAAAGTCGAATTTTGTTATGGGCAGACTAACGACTATAAATAAGAATATGTAACAAGCGTAGATGCAGCTTTACAAATTTGTTACATACCGGGCGGTGGTCGGTAGCCGTGTTCTGTCGAATCTTAACCCGACCAGGCTGTGTGACTAACGTCAATACACCCTATATTCTAACCCTAGCAATACCGTTTCTTGGAGCTAGTCGAATCTATGATCTTGCAGTGCAGCCTTGATCTTGCGATGCAGACTTGCAGTCATACACTGATATGTACAGTCTTGTCGGGTTATTTACATTACTATCAATATCATGATTCATAGTGACGGGAAGTTGTACTTGCAAGTAGTTGTAGTGTACGGCACTTGCTGTATACTGATCCATAGACTGATATAGCTAAGGTTAGTAACTAGTAAGTGTACTGGGACCGTAAATTAACCCACTATTACAACTAATTCATAATGGCTCATGTAATACAGAAATGAATAAACCCTGAGGCTGAATGTTCCAATTATATTTATATACAGGTTATTTTTACTGCCTATAGCCTAGAGTCCTAACATATAATACGATGTATTGCGATGTATGTGTTATGTGCGCATTCTGTGCATGTATTGCTACGTGTTCTCGGCTTAGCTTAATTAGTCACTCGATGGGTAATCGAGGTGGGAGCGAGTCCCAGTCTATATAGCCTTTGTCCTTGCAGCCATTTCCATTACTGGGCAAGGTTCGCGAACGCGAGAATTTCGTCAGTCTTTCTGTGATTTCGCGTCACACAGCTCGGTTACGAAGAGAGAACTTATGTTTTTATGACAAGTGAACACTGTTCACGTCCCAAATGTCTACCCTCTGTATCCCCCACTAAAATTGCGGACTGTTCGCTGGCAGCTATGGATCAGTGCGCCGGCCATTTCATTCGGCGCACGGATCCATAGCTGCCAGCGCTGCATACTGTCGTAGGACGTTCCCGCGGTCGCGTGCACCTTGCCGCGGAACTGTGCGCAAGATCTGCGCTTAAGCGCTTTGGATCAACATCTCCCTTCGGCAACGCTTCTCTAGTATCCCGTCTCATCTGGATTCTCTTAGATATTCACTCACCAATGTTGAGTATATAGAGTACCGAAGTGATGACGTCACGGTGGCATGGCAACGAACCTACTGGTTCTACACAATCATATGCTCTGGTAACATTAACTGCGTGTCGTGTTATGTACCCGATTGTAACCATCATTCTGAGTCATTATTGCAGTTTTTATAGATTTCCAAAGGATGGAAGTGAAAAGCAACGAAAAAAATAAATAAAAACTAACAAAATTTTTTTTTTTAAACGAAATTCAATTTTTTTTAAAATTTATTAAATATTGTAAGATCGACTTGCTACCGATGCTTTACCGCTGTCTGCAGCGCACACACTCGTGTTTTACGTACGCACAACATTTTCACGCAGTTAATGTTATGGAGCCAGTGGCTTGTGTAGAACCAGCCCGTACGTTGTCTTGCCAACGTGACGTCACACTTCGGTACTCTATAATATTATATGTGGATTTTTTTACATAAGATTTCCAATGTTTGCAGATTTTTTTTTACCTGAAGTATTTTGTAAATAACTATGAATAAATTATTAAACGTTGGTTACCTACAACTATAAAGAGGTTGTTGTGTATATTCTTATGTGTAATCAATGATTATTATGTTCTCACGCATGGACACATCTTTAATGGTCTTAATGAATACAACACGGTGCTGATTCTGATTAGTTACGAATTAGTTGCATTGCATTTGTTACATGGAAAGGAATACATTGATGGTGACATGAGGAGGATTCTTCCTACTCGTATGGTTTTTGCAATAGTTTTTACCAGAACACAGGACAGCAAGTGATTGCTCTGGTTCTGTTCTGTATAAATACTAGGCGCCCCCTTGCGGGAGGAAATGCGTAACTAGGGGGAAAAAATTAGATAGATGGCGCCACGGCGCAGCTCGTTGTTTACTTCCGGTTCAGGTCAAGATGTTTTCATCGATTTCTTCTCCCGTTAGTTGATTTTAGTTATACACTACAGTTATGTACTATTTACTGTAGTTACTGATTAAATGCTTAAAAAATGTCAGCCAAATCAAGAAGAGAAACATCGTTTCCTATTCATTGTCTGGTGTGGCATAATGAATTTGGAAAACTTGATCAGGAACTTGCAACAAACAAGGTTTGTAGTTTGTACCGTGGTTTAATCATGGGTCATTCGACTCATTGCCATTGCCATTGGGTGTACTTGTGACTGACTGATTGGTCACATCAATCTAATCATAAATTTTGCTTTTAGAGCTTGTTTTACTTAGGTTACCTTCCTCCGGATAGAGAACATGGGTCCCAATAAAACCAATGTGCCTAACCCTAACCCTAACCCGCCTGTAACCCTAATCCTAACCCTAACCCTAACCATAACTCTAACCATAACTTTAAGGTATGTGACTATCCGCGCGAGTCCGGCTGATATTCCTGGTCTAGGCTCCGATCTCACCTGTGCAGCACTGCACTACGGACCAAAGCCTTGCGTTTCGTTTGGATGGCGTGTTGTAGGGTTACCAATTGAGCTCAAATACTGTCATTACTGATGACGTAGACCACATTAGCCTCTTTTGCCTCGTCTTCGAATTTTTTCATTCCGTTTTGTAGAAGTGAAAAAAATTTCTGTCAAAATTTTGGCCCAAGAAAATTATCAGCGAAACACACGAAGGTAAGTTTTAATACTAATAGTTTTAAAAATCATTTTATTTTGTTGTTTGTATATTTGTCTTCATGTACTGTTAATTTGGAGTAAATTTGAGCATTGCCAGACTAGTTTTGAGGGCACGCAAATTTTGAACGGCATGAATTTTGAGGGCACGCATGACATATTGAATGGTATTTTTCAATAAACTGGTCACAACTTTTCTTTTGTTTTAAGAATAAAACAATGATGAAATTTGACCACGATTCATAAACTTCAAAAATTCATAGCTTCCTTGGTTTTTGTCCTAGAACAATGGTTTTAAAGATCATTTTAAAGGTATTGCTAAGCTCTTTACAAGCAGGGTGAAAAACTGATAATTGGAGGTACTGGTCCAGTAGGACCAGTGCCTCTGAGGAAGCACTGGTCCTGGTCAGTAGGCACTGGTCCAGGATTTTTGTCGTAGCAAAGTGAATGACTCGGATGTGGGGACGTTTTTACATGGGGGGATGGTGCAATTTGGTGATGTGCATTCTAAGGTATTCTTAAAAATTATATTTTTTACTCGTTTTGATACACCAAGCTTTTTCATTATAGCATGGCGGGTGCTGCCTTTGCGGTCCTAGTTGCAAATCGCCGAAGGCGGTTTGCGTGCTCGGGGGGTCCGG